TTACAATTAATTCTATAAATTGTAACTTTTGGTGTTATCTTATTGCCATGCAATTAAAAAAAAAAAATTTAAAAAAAAATTATGCCTACTTTAATTTATTCTTTTTAATTATAAAGTTTTACTATAATATGATCTCTAAACATATTTATATTATTGCTGTGGCATGAATCTTCAGTATCAGAAAAACAAATATTCTTGAGAAGTACCGTACTTACCCTCAACTGAGGGGCAAAATAGAGTAAGATGTTCATAAAGGTACTCTCCATAGCTTGAGTTTTAACCCTTAAAATACCGAATTCCGAGGGGCAGCTACCATATAGAACTGGATTAATTTTTCCATTACTGAGTCGCTTCTCTTCTTATGCATTTTTGAACACTTTCTTTTGATTTGAGAAAAAAAAATGTTTCTAAAAACAAATGTTCCTTTTGAAATGGGCTTTCTTTTGAAATATAGTATACAATTTTATGATTTTTTTTTTCTGTATGAAAGGTGAAAATGAAAATTCACCATATCATGAAACAATTTTGTTGGCGAGTTGTATTTGTCAACTGATTTCCTTCGTCAGTTATATGTATTATTTCAAGACATCAATGTATACAAATAATATAAAATGTTAATTATGGATTGGGCTTTATTTTGATATATAGTAAATAATTTTACTTTTTTTTGTTTGAAATGTGTATGAAGAATCAATAAATTGTTTTGTTTGTGATCTGTAAACTAATTCCTTTGTCATTTATGGAAAATACATAATAATTATATCCAAAATTGATCACCATTGGTCTGGCCTCCAGTGGATTAGAGACACTCAAGCCCTGCTACTACGTCAAGGTTGATGATCATAGCAGAGATAATAGGTTGCAAACATTGTTTGCCCCTTGAAAACATGTAAAATGTTTATATACATACATAGGCCTACATACATACAGTAATTATTCAGACATTTATTTACATATCTTGTCAAATTTACTAAGGAATGACACATTTTGCTAATATTTACTTACTTGTTGTCATACTCACAGTTTAGTGGTGGTATTCCTTGGTGCATTTTGTTTTGTAGTCCATGAGTATATGGAATCACTGGAAGCAAGGCACAGGACACATAAGCTCGTTGCTGGGTGTAAAGTTCGATGGCGCAGGGTTTCGTGCTGAAAGAAAGTGGATACATACTTTGATTTGAGATTCCAATCAAGAGGTTAGATAGGTTAGATACAGAAAAATTATTATAATTACCTCAACATTTTTCTGTGTCTTTCTCTCCTACGCCTCTCATATGTCCTCGAGTTGCACAGGTTTGTCATGAGAGTCACCTTCCTCTTGTCCTTCCATACAACGAACAGTTGATTTCCATTTCTCCTGAATACAGTGTCGCCGACAGCAGGATTAGCATTCTGGATGTCTTCTGCTGTTCCTATCCTATTCACTCTCAGTGTACCACA